TCTTGAATCAACTCAAGGTTTTTTGAAAGTTAAGCATATATAACATTCATCAGCTTTTGACTTCAAATTTAGTACCATGAATTACATAACTGGCTTAATGCTTGAGAGGTGAGGGTTTGCCGTATCCGTTGCATTTCTTTCAAATATTGCTCGCATTTCAGATTGAACTGATAATTTCAGCGCTTTTTCGGCTATTATACGTGCAGCGAATTACGCATTCATCCCACTTAACCAACCAGACATCCTTCATTTATATTCACATTAGTGTTAGCATAAATTGTCGGTAGTTATTTTGCAAGCTGCTTCCAATTCGATATGGTCAGTAATAAATTTTGAATTGAGCGAGCAATACACAAGCTTACCTGCGTAAAATGTCCAGTGGCCATACTAAATCCAGGATGGTTGTAATTGTAGAGTCTTTCTTCATTGTACCTTAATTAAGTGGAGAACAGAAAACCACAGGTTATGTATTATTTCAGATGTATGTATCCAGACATTCCTGAGATTTCAACTGCGACACCTCCGATCACTTTTCGGGCTCAACATGTTTCTTCACTTTGATCTAAGATGGTAAAGGAGCTACGTCACGGTTTGTGCATCTTTGTTGTTTCTAATCCGTGTCAGTCTCTTCCATCCTTAACCATCCTTGCTCTGTTATGGTTTATTATTATTTCTTTAGTGTTTTTCTATCTTCGTAAACTACTACTTTCAGGTTTCGTTCAAGTGAAAGCCTGGCCAAAATAACTCAAAATTCCATGACTGGGCTCCATTAATTTTTTTTAAGTGTTTCCAAGTGGCGGGTTATAATGGGTTATAAGTAGGTTATTAGTAGTTTTTGTAACCAGAACAAAAAAAAAACATTGTAGAAGCAAAGTAAATACATAGTTACTTTTGACGAGACAAACGAATGTTTCGGCTCCATGTTAGCAAATTATATGCGGCTATGTTCACACTTGGTGTCAGAGCACGGTGACTGAGTACGATTCTCGCTGAGCACTAATGTGAACACACCTTTTTCCAAGTTCTCACACCAGAACAAGGGGAAAATTTCCGTGCCTGGGTGCAAGGTCTCGACCTTGTACTCGGGCACTTGATGGTACTTTGATACTTGGAGTATTCGTACCAAGTGTCCAAACTATTTTGTACCAATGCTCGGGTACTAAGTGTGCAGGACACAGCCTAAGATTAGTTAGATTATGCAAGGCACTTACCAAGCGTCCACTGCTTCTTTGTATGACGCATCTCCGCCGGATTTGAAAAGGTTTTCTCCTTCACCAGTGTTCTTTGCATGTTCAAATGTGTTTGTGGCCGCCAGGTGATTAGCCCAGGCCTGAGCATGTTGAGCCAAGGTGGCATCCCAGACCAGCGCTCGCGCCCCATGCTGAGCACGCCAGTAATTGTGGACTTTTAAGCAGGCGTTTTGCACTTCTTTTTAGAAATAAATACATATCATAATCAGATTTCGCAACTAAATGTTAAGAATTAGCCAATACGAAGGCACACGAATCAGTCGTAGATGAATGGTGGGAAAAATTAATTCTAGCATTCAATATCTTCAAACTTGAGTTTAGTTGACATAGTCACGTAGGAACTGAAAAACAAAGCCTTTTTGAAACATTAACAAACAGTGTGATACATCTATCAAACAACGGACTCTGCCTTTCTCTCTGCCCGGTTGGGGTTTGATTTTTTTGGGGGAAGAAGGGATTGCGACGGTGACTTAGCTTCGGGTGGGTGTTTGCCGCTGGG